TTCAGGGCAAAAGACAATAAACAGACCATAAAAGAACAAAAGACCCATCCAACAAAGGGATCATAAGAATCAACACCTGTTCCTATAATTATCCCAAACCCAGATGGATAGACAGCAGTGTGAGAACACATTCAACAAAATAAAGATCAATATAGCACCACCAGAACCTAGTGATTCTACAGCATCAAGACCTGAACATCCCAATGCATATGAAGCAGAAGAAAATGACCTTAAAAATAACTTTATAAAAATGATAGAGGCCCTTAAAGAGGAAAGGAAAATGAAAAATTCCCTTAAGGAAGTGGAGGAACAGAGAAACAAAAATTGGAAGAATGCTTAGACTTAACTGTGATGGCAAGAATGAAAACACTCCAAAGGTTTCCTTGACTTATTCTTGAATTGTGGAAGTATATGGAAGAAAAGAAGCAAAGAAAAAAGAAGCGGGAAGGGGAGAGGTGAAGGTCTTGGGCAAAAAGTTATAAGTATTTGTGCAATCTTAATTTAATGCCAGGCTTTTTTTTACATTAGGAATCACTATTTCATTACTCAGAGGAGCAGGGATTAGGCTGGCGCTGCAGCTCAGCGGCTGAGTGCTTACCTAACATTCCTTGGGCCCTGGGTTAAATCCCTAGTTCCACAAAAGAAGCCAAGCAAACAGAGTAGGAATGAATATTTATCATTTTGAATTCATTTGAAAAGACTCAGAGAGATAAGTAAGGAAATTCAAAGTTTTGTTTTATTTTGGTACTCAGGATCAAATCTAGGGCCTTGTGCTTGCTAGGCAGGCAAGCCTATCACTGAGCTACATTTCAAGCTAAAAACTATTCAAATGAACAAGTACTGGCTAAGGAAGACAGTAGCATAAAGATTGAATAATGAAGGATACTTCATAACAAACTAAGAAAGGACATCCAGCTGAGAAGCTATAGTTAAGTGATGGCTGGTGGGAGAGGCAGAGTCAACTTTCTTTAAAGATGCAGGCCTTAAGAGGCCAACCATGCTCCAGCAGATGGCCGCACACTTGTACAAATACTGGCAGTACTGAATATACTCATGAAGTCATGAAGTTGTGAAGGAATAGTGATTGTAGGATTAAGAAGGACTTGATGAAAACACATTGTAGGCACATACAGAACTACAGAAACAAAACTAAGAAATCAAACCATATTTCAATGTAAATATGTTTTATAAATAAACTTCATGTTATATTTATATAATAATCTTAGTAATTTGCTATTTAATTTCCATTTAATTTGCTATTTAATTTCAAGAATGACCACTTAATTTTTAAATTGTGGCATATTACTAGCTCTTAAGACATTCACTATTTGGAATTTGGGTATAGCACAGTGGACAGAGTAGTTGCCTTGCATGTGTTAGGACTTGTATTCCATCCCTAGCACTGAAAAATAATTTTTTAAAATTACCATTTAGTCAATAAGAATAGGTATTAGGCTTCATTTATTTCCTCCATAAAATATAGCAAATGAATTTTCAAGTGCCTTTTACATGTAACATTCTATACGTGTGTGTGTGTTTTACAAAATGGCTATAAAAGTCTTCAAGTCCTATAGAATATGTGCCTAAAAATCTAAGACACCGAGTCAGTTTAGGAAGTGCATATAGGAGGAAAAGCAAGGAATTACCAAAAATATATTGAAGAAAGAAATATGGAAGCTGTCCCAGATAGAACAAATATAAAGGTGTTACATACCTACTGAGATGTAGAACTAAACCAGATTGCAAGAATAGTGTCTTGGAACACTAGAAATAATCTGTGATGCTCAGATGCTACACCGTTTGTATGGCATGCATCCTATTAAAGGTCATCTTGATGAAAGGCAGTTGGGGAGAAATAATGATCTCATAAGAAGATACAGCTGCTAAGAACACAAATTTCCTCTCTTCAACTTTGAACATATGTGGCCACACACAGGCACCGAATGATAACACCTGAATGAAGTGTTCATGGTTTTGGAGTTGACATACGTGCTGCCCAATACACTGCAATAAATACGAGTTGAATGTATTCATCCTTGTCGGTCTTGTAAGAATAACCACTCATTTTTGATGATGTCATATTTGTTCCTTTGTTTAATTATGAAAAGATAACAAAAATGGTCTTTTCATATTTTGATGGAAACTTTTTAATCTGCAGATTATTAACACTTTCTTCCAGTATCATTGCGGAACCAAACCTTTCATAATTTCCAGTGGATATACTGTCATAGATTGATAGCAAAACCCCAGTGCTTTGATAACTTTTTCATAAATCACCTTTATTAGTAATTTTACATGCAGTCATGCCAGGGATATAAATTTAATTATTTCTTATCCAGGATCATGAAGTCTGAGTGGGCAACGAAGAACAGAGTAGAAACAAGATTTGGGGAAATGTCATTAAAACCATTACTATTATGTTAATATCAAGCTTCATGGTAGTTGTAATTCTTAATATATATTCAAGCATTTATTCAGGCTGAGCTAAAAATATTTTTGCTCTTCATATGAAAAAAGTCATAATTAGAACTATTTGGTTAGTGTCCAAGAATAATGATAAACTGTGATCCAAACATAAGACTTGTGGGGGCTGGGGAATTGACTCAGTGGGTAAAGTGCTTCCTTTTAAGTATGGGGGCCTGAGTTTGGATCTCCAGGATTTGCATAAAAGCTGAGCACATCAATGTATGCCTATAACCCTATTTTGGGGGACCAGAGACAAGAGATCCTAGGAGGCTCACTGGTCAGCGAGTCTAGCCAAATGATGATCTTCAGGCTTAGTAAAAGGCCTGGTCTTCAAAACTTAAGGTACAGAAAGAAGTGAGAAAAAGTATCTTCAGATACATCTGTATAGGCAAGCTCACCTGCAAACATGTGCGCACACACATATAATGGTTTTAAAAAGAAATTTTTTTAAATTAAAAATTGAAAAATAAACCTGTGGATTATCTTGAAATAACATCTCCTATATTGATATTACTGAGTATACTTCCTTTAGAAATTTAGCTAGTTTGTAAGAAACTGTCCCCTGGGGTTGGGGATTTAGCTCAGTGGTAGAGCAAGCGCAAGGCCCTGGGTTTGGTTCTCAGCTCTGTTAAAAAAAAAAAAAAAAAAAAAAAAAAAAAAAAAAAAAAAAAAAAAAAACTGTCCCCTAATCACTAGCTGTGTGATCTTATACAATTAATACAACTTCTCTATAATTTTAACTTTAAAACAAAACATTGACCCTCGTGTATCTTTTATATCTAGCATTTTAAAATTGAAGAGTAAATTTATTTTATGTGAAATGTCTCTGCAGATATTTTAAACCCATACTCATTTTTTCTGGCATATGCTCTTAAAATTTTACTCAAATAAAATAAGATGAATGTAAACTGTAAGTTTGATAGCTCCTACTGCCATTTATTGCTACTATGATAAATCTTACCTTCATAAGAAATGGAATGTAAAGGTTGGAGAGATGGCTCAGCGGTAGAGAGCACTGGCTACTCTTCCAGAGGACCCAGGTTCAATTCCCAGCACCCACACGGCAGCTCTCAACTGTCTGTAACTCCAGTTCCATGGGCTCCAATGCCCTCACACAGACACACATGCAAGCAAGATACCAATGCACATAAAATAAAAAATAAATCTTAAAAATAATAAATAAACAAAATTTAAAGAAAAAATGTAATGCAAAATTTCAAAACTCAATTCAACTCAGGGAGATATAAAAGATTTCAGAAAACATTTTTTTTAGCATTCTGATCATTCACTATTTTACGTGTATGTGTGTGTTCCTGTGTGAGTGGTGTGTGTGTGTGTGTGTGTGTGTGTGTGTGTGTGTGTGTGTGTGTGTGTGTGTGTGTGTGTTTGGATGTGTGTATATGCATGGAGAAATCAGAGTTCCTGCTATTCTTCAAAAGTCATTCACCTTGATTATTGGGACAGGGTATCTCACTAAGATGTGTAGGTGAATGGACAATTAGCCCTGGGGATATGCCTGTTTCTGCATCCTCTGCACTGTGATTACAAACACAGACACCACTTTCAGCTTTTATGTGGTTGCTGGAGATTGAACTCAAATCCACATGCATGCATGGTAAGCATTTTTTGACTGTTCTATCTCTCCAGCCCCTCAACAAACTATTTTCTAATGAAAGGGAAATACAAAAACAACAAGAGAAATTGTGTACATTTTTAGACAATTTTATTTCTACTTGGTTTCCCTTCCAACCTTTTCACTAGAAGAAGGGAATGCTCTAATATTCTAGAAGTGTCTCACTTCACCAAAATGATTACCAAGAATTTTCACCAGCCAGTTGCGGTGGCACACATCTTTAATCCTGGTGCTAGGGAAGCAGAGGCAGATTTCTATGAATCTGTGGACAGCCTATGTATGTGAGTTCAGGCCAGCTGGGGTTATGTAGTGAAACTCTGAAAAACAAACACAAAAACAAAAACCCAATCAAACAAATCAAAACAAAGATCAACCAGTTCTCATCATCTATCCAGAGAAAAGATCAAAAGCATGCACTGCAAAGCATTGCCTTGTAATATCATTAAGTTCGTTGCCAAGCTATAGGCAACGTCGAGCTAATTCAGTGCTAACCTAGTGTTGTGCCACACCACTTGGTTACCAGGCCATAACTGTACACAGTGAAAGCCCTTGTTCCTTTAAAGGTCATTATATATAATATCCTATCCAGCATTCCTCTAGCAGCGAGTAGCTAACTTCTGCTAGGAACAAAGAAGGAGTTTGCAGAAGTTCTTACTGTGGCACTTATAGCCAGAAAAGCAGCAGAGAAAACGTCCAAAGTAGTGCCCCCTACTGTTTTTGCTCATGGCTCATTTTTCCTCACACCACAAAGGATTTCCTCGACCGGAAGTTCCCTGATAGTCACGTGCCAGAAGATGCTGAAATCGGGTACCATAACTAGCCAATGAGAATTGTCCCCTGGGAAATTAAGGCCCGCCCCCAAGCAAAGTTCTGAAGGCGGGTAATCGGCATTCTGACGAAAACTGCTGCTTGACCTGAAGTAAAACTGCTCTCCTGGCAACAGTAGTTCAGAACTAACATTTCCTCTAGGCACTGACACCCTGAAACATGGAGCAACTCTACAAGACAGTCCCTAACTTTCTCACAAAACTGTGGGTATTAGTAGACGATGCCGTCTTGGACCATGTGATTCACTGGAGCAAGGTAAAAGATGCGTGGGCGTAAGGAGAAAGATGTAGCTTCAGAAAGAGTCTGTTCTGGGTGCGGGAAAATTTCAGACAGGTTGAAGGACAGAGGCACAGGCTATTATTGCGACCCCCACAGCACTTTGGTGGATATTGAGTTTCATATGAAGATGATTAAGCCTCAGTTCACACAGCGCTGTGATTCCTGGCCAAAAACAAAAACAACAACAACAACAAAAAAAACTATGCTCATTTTCTACCTTTGTTTTTCTCTTCAGAATCACTACGCATGTGCTACATGAGTAAAAAGTCACTCAGAATTGGACAGCTTCACCATAAAACTATGAGTAGCACATACTCTAGCTTTCCTACTAAAAGCACAAATTACAGAATTTGTTGGGTTTTATTATGTGGTACTTAGTATGGATGTGAGATCATACATATGTTATATGAATGCTCTATCGAGCTATACAGCTAGCCCTCACTCTTTCTTTCTTTGAAAGATAGGGTCTCAGTATGTAGCCCTGGCTGCCCTAAAACTCACTGTGTAGATCAGGTTGGGAAAAAGGAAGCTTTCCTGCCAAGTGTACCTAAGCTGGGTGTTCCAGGCCTAGCTACTGTCACAGTTTCTGAGAGAATTTGTGATACACATCATTTTATCACTGGGGCATTGTTAGCCTCTCATTGCATGAGCTGGGTGAATTATGAATGTACTTTTCTTCACTGGGATTTTGATTTTTATTTAGCTTCTAATCACTCTGAATGAGGACAAAATCTTATAGAATCTGTTTAAGGCTAATTGTGGCTACTTCTCTAATGTGATAGTCACTGTGGCATCATGTCCATTTGTTTTTAAAACAGGGTCTCACTCTGTAGCCTAGGTTGGTCTTGATCCAAGATTATCTTACCTCAGCCTGCCCAGTGCTGGTAATACAGGAATGTACTATCACACTCAACTGAGGTAAAACTTTTTATTAATAAAATGTCAAACATAAATATAAAGTGGTATAATGAATTCCCAAGTACCACAACTAACTTCAAATAATGATGAACTCATAGCCACTCTTATTTCATAAACAGCTTACTCATAATTCACTTGAAGAAAATAGTGGGTGTCATCTTTAATTTTTAACTTCTTCATGAATATAGATTTTGAGAGGACTGACCAGATACCATAACAGGCTGCTCAGTCTTCTTTTAGAAATCAGATCTCAACTTCAGTTTCCTGAGACTGAGAAAGCAGTTTCTGAAGAAACAACAAACAAAGGCCAATCAGTCTCTAACACTCCCAACAGCAAGGATGTACTACATGTACCAGGCCTAAGCCAGCCCCTGCAGTCAGCACATACTAGGCCAGCCAGCCTTCACAGTCAATAAGCTAAAGGTAATAACCAAATAAGAACAAAGCCTGGGACTTGTCCAGGCCTGCCCCCAAATGGAAAACTGTAGCCCTGACCAGCCCCTAACTAGCCCTAGCCAATTAGAACTTATTAATGTGATTGCCACTTATTTAAGCCAATCATATCTGAAATGACCTAACTGCCCTAGGAACTCTCCTTAGTTATTCTTAGTTATTAAAAGGAGCCCACACATCCCTCTCAGAGTTCTCTCCATTTTGCCTTTGTGTAGGATGTATGGCCCCAGCATGCTGTAATCTTAAGATAATAAACACTCTTGCTTATTGCATATGTGAATGTTGGTCTTTTATCCGACTTCTCCAGGACCCTAACAGCTTTAAAACAAAAGAAATATTGAAGTAAATGTTTTATATTTAAAGAAATTAGATGTGGGATGTAGGTCATTGGGAAAGTACTTATCTATCATACGAAAGGCCCTGGACTCATCACCAAAACCACAAAAGTATTGATAATAATTTATTAATTAATTAAATTGGCTCAAAGAGTTTAGAGCCAATCTTTCTATCCCACTGAACCTTACCCTGGGATTTTCATAATTATGAATTTATGCAAAGTTCATGGTTGCTGTTTCCATGTCATATATAGAAGACATACTCTCAAAGCAAATGTCTTAATCCTCTAGCACTTAGACTCTTCCTAACCCATGTTCTGCATTGTTCCCTGAGCCCTGTGTGTAGAGGTTGTGTGGTTGATGTATCAGTTGGGTCTGAGTACTGGACAGACAGTTATTCTATTCATCTTAAAAACTTACGATTTTCTGTAATGCTCTCTGTTTACTGAGAAAAAAAATTTTCTGTTAGGGTCTGCGAGAAGTCCCATAAAATACCACCATTCACAAATGCAATCAACAAGAGCATTTAATGAAAAATTCCAGCATGTAGGGATCAACCATCTGACACAGTGGCCAACGGCAACCCCTAGAGAAGCCTGCAGGCTCCTTTTCAGCAGGATCAGGGGTATTCTAGCTGTGGTTAAGTGTACTTTGAGGTGATTGGGTATAGACCCTTACTGGTACAGGAATCACTTTATGACTGGCTCGTGACATCCGGTCAGCAACTGTAGTTGCAGTGTCAGGGGTCTGTTTGCTGTGTTAGGGGTCTGTTTGACTGAAAATAGCAAGAACAGTTTCTGCTTATGGCCAGGTAGGACTCTGATTGGCTAGACTGGATACTTCCTGTGGGTCTGATTGAAGCTAGATGTGGGTCAACATAGGATGGTGGAATAATATGGCACAGAAGTATTAATAAACTGGCCCCTGGAAACAAACAACTGGCCCTATGTTATAAGAAGGGGACCTTTGCTTCAGTTTCTTTGATGAGAAGTAAGAGTTAAACTTATTTGTAAGGATAAGTATTTAGAATGCAGTTACGAATTATACTGGTTTAGTAAATTGGCAATAGTAGGTTCTTCTCTAGGGTCTGCAACTTCCAACCATGGCTAACTGGTTAAATTTACTGTGCCAGATATGAATTCCTTCCTACTGAGTGGGCCTTATGTTCACTTAGATGGCTGTTGGTTACTCCCAGAATATAAGTGCCAATATTGCACTTTTCAGATGAGGCATGTGGACTACTACTACTACTACTACTACTACTACTACTACTACTACTACTACTTCCTTCCCTTGGCCAATTACATAGTACTTCCTGGTACTATGGAAGTTAGACTGCAGGAAAGAGATTTTCAGGTTAGATCCAGCTCAAATATTCTGAGTCGTGTGTCCTAAGTGTGTGATGTTGTCAGCAATAGGGATTTACCTTCAACCTCTGAGAAGCAACCAAGAGCAACAGCAATAACTATATTCTTTTGGTAGTCACTTGGAATTTCCCTTATCAACAACTTGAAAGCAGGTTTCCCATGCCTCACACTGGAGTTTTTGCTAGATCGTCTCTGGTTTGAGGGAATACTATCACCCCAACTGGCATAATTTTAATTAAACTGTACATATATATGTATATAATATACTTATATGAGTATACTATCTAATTTTATGTAACCACAAGATAATTTGGTTCCCCATGGCCTTTTCAAACATACTTCGTGTTATTTATCCTCCCACCATCTTTTTTGTTGTCCTTAATTTTCCCCACCAGAACCAAGTCTTCCCTCCTGTTCTCCCTTTCATAGCACCCATGTCCTACTATTCCTCTCCACAGAGCTTCCCCCTCCCTGTCTGCAAGTCCCTTTTTACTTTCTTGGTATCTGCGAATAACAAAGGTGATACAATACATCTATGGGTTAAGAATTAGGCTCCATAAATAAGTAAAAACATTCAGCATTTGTCTTTCTGGGTCTGGGTTACCTTACTCAGTATACTCCTTCAATTTCATATATAAATCTGAAAATTTCTTGAATCCATTTTTTCTTTATAGCTGAATAATGTATATATGCACCCCATCTCCATCATTCATCCATCAGGTGAAGGACATTTTAGTTGTTTCCATTTCCTAGTTATTGTGAATAAAGAGCTATGAATATGGCTGAGCAAGTATCTGCTGGAGTGAGATGTCTAGTCCTTTGGGCACATGCAGAACAGTGGTATAGCTAGGTCATAAGATAATTTTTTTCTTTAAAAAGATTTTGAAGATTCTCTACACTGATTTGAGAGTTACTGCACCAGTTTGCAGTCTCATCAATAGTAAATGAGGTGTCCCCCTTCTCTACATCCTAATTAGCATTTAATGTCAGTTGTTTTCTTGACCTTAACTGTTCTGACTAGATAAAATAAAATCTCCATTACCAATGTTTTATAAGGAAAAAAGCAAATGAGATACAGAAATCAAAATCATAAACACTCTCAAGTAGAAAATCAAAGAAGTTAAAATGTATAAGAGGTTAATTCAGCAAAAAATAATAGTATAAAAAGAAACAAAGAAAACTGCTACAATACTGTATATATCTTGTTCTTTAAATAAATAAAATGTACTTTTATATACAGTGCTACCAAAACAGAATATTTGCTTGTTTATGTATAGAATGAAAGCTCATTTTTGAATATTGAAGATGGATAAAATTTGCTTTTGATGGTGATTTTACTAAGCCATTGCACAGTGGGCCAGAAAAACATTTATGGATTTTGAAGATGATATATACTGTAAATCTTCAATTAGGATAGTGGACACTCTAGCACTGTTTTTTTTATCTATTGTATTGTATTTTTTAAATTATATGTGTGTGATATGTGAGTGTGTGTGTGTGTGTGTGTGTGTGTGTGTGTGTGTGTGTGTGTGCCATGTGAATATGAGTTCCCATGGAGGCCAGGAGAAGGTTGCAGTCCCCTAAACAGGAGTTACAGGTGGTCATGAACTGTCTGATGTGGGTGCTGAGAAACAATTTTGGGTCCTCTGCAAGAAAAGTAACTGCCCTTAACTGCTGAGCTAGTTTCTAGCCCCAAATACTGTTTTTTATAATGAATATACAAGTACAAAACAAAAGAGAACGAGAATTTTCCTACATCTTAGCAACATTGAGATTGAATAAACTTTTAATTAACAGTTTTACTGAGAAATATTGTTCATTTTACTCAAAAAATGTAATTTAAAGTTTTGTTAACTAACATGTTTGTAAAGTGGTACATTCATCACCACAATTTTAGACATTTTATCATCTCTGAATTATAAACCTCTGTCCATTCACAGTCATTCTCCAATGTGAAATCATATTTAAATGTAGGCCACCCTGTTTCAGTAACACTTTCATTCAGCTCCAAATCTCAGTAGCTTGCGTAGTGGCCTGTGAGAACATTCAGAAGGTAACTTTTCTAACAACATACCCATTTTAGTGGTGGAACCATTCTTATTAACTGTGCTGTGTGAGACTCAGAAGCAATCACTGCCTTTGGTGGAAGTCTTAACCTTGCCTGTATGCTCTCTATGTGAGATTGTGTGAATGAGAAATGTCCCCCATAGACTTGAGTATTTGAACATTTAGTTCCCAGGTGGTGTCACTGTTGGCAGCGGTTTAGGAGACTGAGCATTCCTGGAAGAAGTATGTCATTAGAGACAGGTTTTGAGGTTTCATAGTCTTACTGACTTCCAGTTCTCTCTCATTCTTTCAGAATCATGCTTGTGCTTGAGAATGGTATCTCTTTTCATCCTGCTCCATCTTCCATGCCTCCCTGCCCTGGTGGTCTCTTAAGCACTAATAAATTCTCCCTTCTGTAAATTATCTTGGCCATAGTGTTTTATCACAGTCACAGAAAAGAAACACACACACACACACACACACACACACACACACACACACACACAGTGTACATACTGATAGATAGATAGATAGATAGATAGATAGATAGATAGATAGATAGATAGATAGATAGATAGATAGATGGATGATAGATAGATTACAACTTGCTGATAAGACAGCACTATGGAGTACTCAATGCATACATATTCATTACATTCAGTACTCCATATTGCTACCTTATCACCTTTAATTCTAACTTTGTTACAACTCACATACAACATGAAAAGATTCCCCCAATAAGGCAAAGCAGTGTCTCTAGCCAATAAGAATCAAGGTCCCTTTGTCTTTAATGTGGGTTCAGTGAAATTAGCTCTTGCAGTTCATTTTTCTTATCTGAAAACATAAGATCAATTCCATCCATCATTTATAAGTGATAAGTCTCAGCTAGTTATTAAATTACTAGGCAAGATAGTAATGAGCCCAAAGTCCTTTAGTGTATCAGACTTAAAGATCAATAGAAGGTTTGTCTGCCAAGTTTCACTTTGATCATTTTTAGAAAACCAGAGTGTCCATCTATTATGTAGAGGATATTTAATATGGTGCTTTATGTTAGCAACCTCCTGATTAGATTCTATTTTCTCCTCTTCTATAGGAAAGAAATTAATATGGGTGTTTGTCTCTTTTGCAGTGTGTGTGTGTGTGTGTGTGTGTGTGTGTGTGTGTGTGTGTGTGTGTAATACGGGAGTATCACTGGGGCTTTCTGGCTACCTACCTAGTACCAGGTTCAGTAAAAAAGCTTGGCTCAAGGGAATGAGGTAGAGAAATAGAGCAAGGCACTTAATGTCCTCCTCTAGATTCCAGAAGCACATGCATGCATACACAGGCACATACACCTATAAACACACACACACACACACACACACACACACACACACACACACACACACACACAAAATATCTTGGTGGTTTGGGGGTTTATAATGAGCCATGAAACCTCTAAAGAACAAAACTATTTGTAGAATTTAATTGGTAAATAATAGATGAGTAGGGTTTTTTTTCTAATTCTTAGTTGAAGTATGGAATCAAGTTTTTAAAAAAATGACATTGAAGTTAATTCATTATTTTATAATTTCATTTATGTTTAAATTTATAATTTAAGAGAATGAGCAGCATATAATAATATTATCACCTTTGCCTACTTTAAAATATTTTTTGTTGTAGTCTACTTTTTGGAAAGTAAGTAAAGTAGTTAAAGTGCCATCAATTGATAACTACTGTTATCAGTTTGTGGAATATTGTTTTGTATGTCTAAATATCTTTGGGGGGGAGCAGGGATGCTAGGGATCAAATTTAGGTAGTCTGTCATTGATCTGTATTATTATCACATATCTCTATCATTTATGAAATGATGCATTTTACACCTTTTGAAAATTTGCCTTTTTCACTTGAAATATATCATGAGGATTTCCATTCACTAAATATACTTATATAGCTTCATTTTCATCACTGTATAATACTCATTTGTGTAGATTTAGTTATCATATTAGTATTATGGTAGTTTACAATTTTCAATATAATGTACAAATACTTATGTAACTGTTCATTATTAAATCTTATCACTTATCAGTAATTATTCTCTATACAATCTGGAATTAGAATTTCTAAGCCAAAGCCTGAGTGTCTGGGGACTTTGAATCCTTACTTTTAGCAATATTAAGACAATTTAAATTCTGACAGTATGAGAACCTGTTTATCTGTACTCTTGCTAATTTGCAAACACTGAAGATTAATATTTTCTTTAGTCTTTGTCAATTTGATAGGCAAAAGATTATATCTCATTGTTGTAATTTAAATTTTAAAAACTTTTCTTGAAAACTTAATTGGTCTCTTAGTTTTCTGTTGCCGTGATAAAATATCTTGACCCAGGCAGCTTAAGGGGGGAAGTGTTTATTTCAATGCATAGTGAAAAGTCACAGTCCATTGTGGTGGAGGAAGTCACAGTGGCCAGAGCTTGAAGAAGCTAGTTTTATTGCATCCACAATGAAGAAGCAGAGAGTAAGGAGTGAATGTAACATGCTTCTCAGCACCTTCTCTCCACTTGTATAGTCCAGACTCCCTGGCTCAGGAATTGGTCCTACCTGCAGATAAGAGGGGTCTTCCCACATCAATTAGAACAGTCAATTTAATCTCCTATAGGCATGCTTAGAAGTCCATCTCCCAGGTGATTCTATATTTTGTCTAGTTGACAACTAACACTAAACATTACAATTGGCTAATTTTTTTTGTTGTTGTTTTGTTTTGTTTTTCCAGACAGGGTTTCCCTGTGTAACAGTCCTGGCTGTCCTGGAACTCGCTTTGTAGATTAGGCTGGCCTCAAACTCACAGAGATCTGCCTGCCTCTGCCTCCCAATTTCTGAGATTAAAGGCATGGATCACCATGCCCATCTAGGCTAATTCTTTGTATTACTATTTCATGCATTTTTTTGCCCAAGTCTGTGAAAATACAGTTTCCTTGTATGATCCAGACTGACTTTAACCCTCAGTCTTCCTGCTTTTTGCTTTCCAAGTGCTGGAATAACAGATATGCTCTACCATGCCTGGTTTTGCCTGTTTACATTTAATTTGTGAGATTTGGGGACACATGCTTTCATGGTCAGCCCATTACATTTTCCTTCATGGTATTTCTTTTGCTCATATTCTATATCTTTATGCTATATTATCCTCTATGATAAAGTATTGAAACCATATCCTTATTATTGCTATGAATGTACTCAACTAGTGAGCTATACTTCCAGTGTGAAGAATTTTTTAATTTGGACATTAAATTTTCACAGGTTTGGAGTTCATGAGGCATTATTTTGAATTGTTACTTGAGTGAAACCTAACTTTTTATCTTTAATGACTGTTTTGATCTTTCTTTATTACAAGGATGGTCACAGCTTTGAGATTGTGAATGAAGAAGACTTTTGCAAAGAAATACTGCCAAAATACTTCAAGCATAACAAAATATCCAGCTTTATACGACAGCTCAATATGTGTAAGTATGATTTAATTGTACAAGTACTAACATTTGTCATGCATAAATATAAGTCCAAATTGAGTGAGAGTTCTTAATATAGTGTATTTAATGTCTGCATAGCTTTTTTTATTGACTGAAGTTCTTTCTTACTTTTCTATTGATGTGATAAAACACCGTGACCAAGGCAACTTACAATAGAAAGGTCCATTTAATTTGGACCTTATAGTTCCTGGGGTGTAGAGTGCATGATCATCATGGTGAGATCATGGCAGCAGGCAAGCAAGCATGGCATTGGAGCAGAAGCTGAGAGCACACATACTGAAACACAACCACAAGGCAGAGAGAGCCAACTGGTAATGGTATGGGCCTTCAAATGCCCAAAGCCTACCCCAGTGACACACCTCTTCCAAAAAGGTCACATCTTCTAATCCTCCCCAAAGTGTTTTGCCAACTAGGGACCAAGTATTCAAATATAAGTACCAATTGTGGCCATTCTCCTTTGAACCACTGAAGTTTTCAAACATAAAAATTTCCTTTCTGGAAAGATCTGATTTAAATTTTTGAGTTCAGAATCATACAGCTGAATGGGACTAAAGATTTATCTAGTTTAATCTTACTGTGCTGGTGCTAAAGAATGGGAACTAAAGAAATTAAGTATACTTGATCCAGATTGTACAGCTAGGCAATTCATTACCTTCATTAAATATATTTTAGTTTTCCTATTCTAATCTTTAAAGTTCTGAAAATCTTGCATAGCACAAATGTGAATTATACTGTTCCTAGGCCTGGTATTTTCAACATCATTTTTTGTGTTACTAGTATGGAAAATTATAAGAACAAAAGGTATAGACAAACAATATATAATTATGAAAACAATGGTGCTTAAATTTTGTCTTTAATATTCTTAATCTATTGGTTTTTTTGTAAAAATGCAAAGTTTTATTTATATCTCCACATTTACATTAGTATTTTTAAATGACATTCTAGACAAGATTTAAATGACTATGTTCTATGAACAAAGATAAAATCTTGCTGTTTAGATTCTCAGTAAATCTTATGAAGAACAATTGTACATCACACATTAAAATAAAGACAGAATTGAAGCATTTTATTGACTAAAGACAAGCTTCTTTTTAGAAAGGCACGAACTATTGTTTTTTAAACATTTCCCACATTTAAAATGTGCTATCATTTTATGTAATACCATTATTAAGGTTGTTTTCATTTTAGACACTTTTAAAAAGTTATTTGTTTTTATTTCTCTCAAAATTTTCTTAATGTACATTTATTTTATAGTGAAAATTGTGTACTATTGTTATAAATATGTTTAAAATACTACCAAATTTCTTTTTGGTAGTAAAATTTTTCTGAGGGACTGACTTGATGTTTACAATTGTTATTCCCAGTCTCTCCTCACTTCATCACAATTAGGGCAAAAGCTTCCATGGCCATACTGAATCCTCTTTGTAATTAACCAATGACTTCCTCTTTGGTGCATTCACTGACCAATCACTGCCTACTTTCAAGGCCTAACTGTGAGAAGTAGTTTATGATGTGGTACTTTAAATCATCTAGGGTGACTTCATGTTTATTAACAACACACAAAATTTCACTTAAAATATTTTAAATATACCAACCACAGCTGTAGGTACAGTAAGAAATAAATATAAAGATTTCTTTATTAGCTCTCCAGTTAATGTATGTAGTTATTTTGGCCTATTGATTCTCTTTTTCTTTCAGCATTATGGCATTACTATGTAAGCAATCTTTAATTGCTTACATACTTAATACTTTAACTATAGACATGATTTATTTTCACACTTACCAAGGAAAGAAACTATTCTCTTGTCTTTTTACTTCTGTCAATTCTTGCAGCTGCTCTATCTTCATTCCCTCCAATATATAAAAAAAATCAGAAGCCAGGATCACTGATAGTGGGAACATGTAGTATTTTGCTTTCAGAGTCTGAATTACTTCATTAAATAATATTTTCCAGTTCTATTTATTTGTCTGCAAATTTTATTTTTCTTTATGGCTGAATAAAAATTCATTGTGTATGTGTCATATGTCGTGTTTTCTTTTTCCATTCATGTGTTGTTAGAAATCTAGGTTGAATTTATTTCCTTGCTGTTATGACTGGAGCGATAATAAATATAGATATGTATTTGCCCAGGAATGCTGAATTATTCACTAAATATGTTTTACTTACCTTTTAAGAAACATCCACATTAATTTCTATAGTGGCTACACAAGTTTTCATTCTTATAAACAGTGTCAGGGCTCGCCATTCTCCAACAGCGTTTGTTTTCATCTGCTTTATTAATGAGACTCACTTCAACTATGGTAGGATGGAATCTCAAAGTAGTTTTAATTTGCATTTTCCTAAGAATTAAGGATATAGAGCACTTTACAGAACATTTATTGGCCATTTGTATTTCTCCTTTGAGGACTATATCTTCAGTTCATTGGCTCAGCTACTAATTGACAGTTTTTGATTTTTAAGATATTTTTATATTTGTATAGTAACTTCCATGTATAGTTGACAAAGATTTTTATCCCATTGTGTGGGCTGTCCACATTTTAAAGCTTGATACTGTGATTCCTCCAGCTTTGTTTTCTTCAAAGTTGATTTGACTACTTGCTATACAGCTTTATTTTTTGTCTCCTCCTCGCTCTTTTCTCCTTCTTCCCAACCTCCCCTCCTTCCTTCCATTCTCCTCCTTCTTTCTTGAAAAATCAGAAGTGTCACTTTTTATTCTTAGACAATTCCATACCCATATATACTGACTTTTAAGGGGTCATTTTCATACCCATTACCATATTTCATGCTTCTCCCTCACCCATGGAAATACTACTTCTTCTCAATAAATCTTCCTCTGATTGGTTTTTATATGAATGATCCACTCGATGTAATTCAAATTTCTTGCCCAAGTATAGGTCAGAGGTTATTTACTTGAGCAAGGACAACTTACCACCAAGTGACAACACCACCAAAGAGACTGACATTACATCCCCACCCACAGTCCTTCAGTGACATGTTAGGTTTCATGAGCCCCTCTCCTCTGCATGCTGATATGGTGATGCAAGTTTTGTTCTGGTAAGCACAGCTGTAGTGAGTCTATGAGTGGAATTGCCATGTCCATTCCAGAAGATACTGTTTCTCAGCATTCCGCTTCAACCTTTGGCTCTTGCATTCTTTGTGCCTCCTCTTCAGTGATGTTACCTGAGCCATGGATCAGGTAATAATAGATAGCCCACATACCGTAGATCATTCCGTAATCATTTAGTTTCTGCACTTTGAACAGTTATGAGTCTGTGCACTAAGTGCCTCCCATTACAAAAGAAGCCTCTATTACAAAGGCTGAGAAAAGCATTCATCTCTGGATACAAACATACATTATAAAAGGCAGTTTGATATGATCTCCGTTTAACAAAACAGCAGTAACAACTTCTCTAAGGCATAGGACCTACTCAGCCGAGGGCTCTCGATCAGATTAACAGTACCAAACATGAGGTCCCTTCTGTGGAGTGGGCCACATAGTCATAAAAATAAAAGAAATGTTGCTTACTCCCATAGTTGTCACGACACCTTTGCACTAATGGGCACATCTTGCCATGCAGAACATTACTGTAGCTCTTGTGGTCCCCAGCACCCTACATAGCACCTTCTGACACTGAGAAAACTAGCAAAAGCAGAGGAAGCTGCTATCTCAGTTACAGCTTCATTTTTCTGTGTACTGAAGCTCATATGTATGAACATTTTACTTTCCTTTTTAAAAATGATATTTATTTATTCTTTGAAAATGTCATTCATATGCACAGTGCATATTGATCATAGCCACCTTTACTGCCTATCTCCAACTCCACCCCACAAATTCATTCATGTATTTTTCCCTAGTGTATTGAATCTTATTACTGCTGCCCATATGAACATGGGTGTGGGGCCATCCAGTGGAGCATGATAAACTTACCAATGGCCAAATCCCCAAGGGACTTTCTCTTCTCAGGAGCTATCAACTGCCAGGGGTGGGACACCAAAATCCTTCCTCCATTCATGATGGATTTTTTTTTTTTTCGGAGCTGAGGGCCGAACCCAGGGCCTTGCACTTGCTAGGCAAGCACTCTACCACTGAGCTAAATCTCCAACCCCTCATGATGGATTTTTAACGTACTTGATCTTCTGCAAGTCTTGTGCAGGTAACCACAGCTTCTGTGTGTCTTTTGTGCATCATCCATGTCATGTCCTAAACATTTTACAGCACTTCTGTCCATCCTCCAGCTCTTATAGCCTCTTTTCTCCCTCTTTCTTGCTGTCCTCTGAGCTTTGATATAGATGCTGATTTATGGCTCAATCTTTCTTATCACTTTGATGAGTTATGAGTCTCTAGATTAATCAATGCAAATGTGAGAAAAGAAGGAAAAGAAGGTTTTCTGATCAAATTGAGAGCAGTTTTAATCTATAGATATAAACAAAAATATTTATATCATGGCAGTTTGATAACATGACGATAGTTTTCCCATAGGGACAGTGACCTCCCCAGACATGAACTACTGATTAGGTTTATAGTACCAGGCGTGACTTCCCACCTATGGAAATGTTCTCAAATTTCCAAATTGTTTGCCCACATAATAGTCACACATAACTAGGCACATCTTGTTGACATGTCAATATTGTAGGATGCAGAGTTCAAGACTAGATTAAGATGATCCATGCCTTTTCTTTTCCAGCAGCCTGAATAGTACCTCCTGGAACTGTGAAAGTTCTGTCTGATGAGACAGAATCTTAAAGCCATTTTAATCTTCATTTCCCTGATAGCTAAGGATGTCAAATATCTTAAAAGTGTTTATTGGGCACTTTATTTTTCTTTTAAATTTTTTTAAATATTTTGAGATTATAATTCCATCATTTCCCCCTTCCCTTTCCTCCCTCCTAACTTTCCTATATACTCAGCCTTTCTTTCGTTCAAATTCATGGGCTCTTTTTTCACTAATTGTTGATATATACATATATGTATATA